TTCCTATCTGCTGAATGAAGATGAAAGAATTAACTTGTTTGTGTATATCTTTTGCTGATAAATATAAATTCTAATGGAGAGACTTCATCTTTCCATTATTGTTGGCACCAAAGCTAGTAGAGTGAAATTATTAAGATCAACAACTATGGAGTCCCCTCTTATGGGTTTGAATCCTGCCTCTGCAGTGACCTTTTTGAAGTTATTTCACTTCTCTGGACTTCAGTTTCCAATTTCTAAATTGTGAATAATACTTACCTATTAAGATTGTTGGAAGGGTGGAGCCAGGTGTAGTGTGCGGTAGTGTCACATGCCTGTAATTCTAGTGACTCCGGAAGCTCATGCAGGAGGATTACAGTTTTAAGGCTAGCCTCAGAAACTTAGCAAGACCCTAAGCAACTTAGTTGAGACCCTGTTTCAAAATGAAAAAATAAAAAGGACTGGAGATATGGCCCAATGGTAAAGTGCTTCTGAGTTTAATCCCCAGTACCAAAGGTGACGGGGGAAGGAAGACTGTTGATTGTTGTAAGGTTAGAATCAATTAATGACTGTGAAGTATTTGTAATAGGCCCTGATGTGGAATAATGCTTAATAAAATGCTATTATACTGTTAGTAGTACTCTTACCACCACCTTAATCATGATTTTTACCTTGATGATTGGTGCTCTGCATGTAATAATCGAGAATAAGTAGCCTACAGAATCAAAGTAGACTGCTGCTGGGGGAAGGCAGATGTTGGCTAGATTTATTCAGAAACTATGTGGATAATAGGCAGTCCTTGTTTGGCCCAGTTATGATATGTATGAATATCTGTTGTCATGGCTTAGTTAAATAACTGTATCCACTTGTCTGCAAAGTTCAAGTTTGTGTTATTGTAGTGTATTAACTGTGAGTGATTACATGAAATACAAACTTTACTGTTACCTCTTCTTTCCATAAGTCATAATGTAAATACATGATCAGTCACTGTGTCACTTTTTTCAAAGTGATAGGTCTCAGTGTGTACTGTTATTCAGTTAACTTACAGACTGCAAAGCATGTTGCACTGCTTCCTTGTCTCCTAGTGATAACTCCATGTGACATTTCACAAAAAATGGAAAACTGAAAGAGAAAACTTGGCACCCGAGATAAAAATGTAGCAAAGAAGTGAAAAGTAATAGAAGATATGAAAATGGTGATAGTAAATATGAAGACAAGCTGAGACCTAGGTGTCCATGAAGCTGGGATGTGAACCATACTGAAGAGGGCTGCTGAATTCAAAACACATGATAAAGTCACTCCAATGTCTTTTAGTTTAAATTTCTCTTGGAATAGGAAGCTGCTCATGGTTGAATTGGAGTAACTCAACTTCTTTTGGTTGAAGACTAGTAAAAAAATTACAATAAGTTTTGCTAGCATTGAAGCCAAGTAAAGCTAGTTACCACATTGAAAGGGAATGGTATTACTAGGAGACTGGAGTTCAAGCATTTCTTCAGCTAAATTTTGAAAGCAATATGACATAAAGAATACAATTGAAAATATTCAGACATCATGTCAAGAAGCAACAATGAACAGTATGTGTGTAGTGGGGCAACATCTGTAGTACACTGTAGAAATAAATTTTGAGGATTTGAATAGGACACATGCAGAGTTAAAGTAGTGACTGATTCTCTGTGGGAATGTTGACACTGCTGCTATTCAAGGGACTCTAGATAAGCAGCTGAGGAGCTTAGGGAAGATGAACCTATCAACATGAGTACAGACAGTGGTTCTGTTGAAGGTGGGGGGAAAGAATGTCTCAGAAGTGACTTTGGCAAAATCTTCACATTAGAACAACTTTTGGATATTTTACAACATCGAAAATGCAAAGACTAAATGGAAGCTGATCCAAATTCAGAAAGGAATATGACAATTTCATGTGAGGCACTTGGTTCCATCCTTAGCACCACATAAACATACATAAAAAAATAAAAGAACAATACCTTTGTGTCCAACTACAACTAAAAAATAAATATTTAAAATAAGCCGTAAATACAATAATGAAGTAGTGTTTGGCTTAAAGTTAAAACATTTGATAAATAGGAGCTTCTATAGTTAATATATTTATTGATATAATCTCATTTTCAGGAGGTTTGATTTCAATTTTTGAGTCAGGTCAGCTATTTACTGTATAATAAATAATGTCTAGTGTGGGTCCATTCCTCTTTATTAACATTCTGTACTTACAGGCACCACAGAACTTGCTATATCAAATTGTAATTGCCTGTTTACTTATTTTCCTTTCCTACTAGACTGTGAAAGTCTTGAAAAAATAGGTGGGATATGAGTTTGCTTTCTACCTTACCAAGTAAGTTTATAAAAGAAGGTTGAATGCTTTGAATTCCCCAATGAACTGCTTAATCTTCACATTAGGGGTTTATGTTTCTAATAATATCTATCTAATTCCCTACACATTATTCCTAATAGATCTTGCGGGTCTCCATAGGAAGCCTTGTATGCTCTAATGAAGTATAATTTTGGAAATTACTAATACAGTTTGATAGAAAAAAATATGTGATTTTAGTGCTAGAAGAAGTAAATTTTAGTGCCTCTCCCATTTTCTAGAAGAGGAAGCAGAAGCCTAAGGTACTAGGTGCTTTCTTTAAGGTCACACTGCTGGTTGGTGGCAGGAATTTTTAAATTCATAAGCCAGGAAGAGTAGTACATTAAAAGATCATCAGGCTAAGGTTAATAAGTATTGCCATTTAAGGGAAATTCAAACCTCTAAGGCTCTTTTTGTGGTAAAGTTTGATATAGGAATATTATGCTAAGAAAATATAAAATTTTATCCATTTTACTTGGATGTGCTTGAGAAACAAAATAATATAAAATTTTAAATTTTAAAAAGAGCCAGAAGAAAGAAGAGAGGATAATTTTAAACTGTAAGCATTGGTTCCAAAAGGGATTGAGGGACATGGAGAAATTATTATTTTTCAAACGTACAGTGCTTTGGTATTTGTTAACTTATTACGATGAGTGTATAATAGCTTTGTAACTTAAGCAACCTTATAATAGTTTAAAAACAACAAAACACCATAATATACCCATGGGAAATGCAAGCTTGAGCAAAGTTTGCAAGAAAGTAGGAGACAGATCTGTCCTCATTAACCTTAGTTGAGGAGACCAAATTTTACATCTGGAAAAGAATTAACTCTTTTATTAAAGGCAATAATACTGTTTAATACCGTGAATTGTGTGATTAATTTCATTAAATTTATATAGACAGTATTATAGGAGTTTATAGGCAAGAGATTGTAGCAGTATTTAGTAATCGTATTTAAGTTTTGAATACTAGAGTATAATTATTTCTGTTATACTAGATTATATTTTGTTCAATGATACAATGATATCTTTGAAAGTTATCATCAAAACTTATAAATTTTAATTGTGGTATATGTCCAAGATAAAGTTGGATGCCAGAAGACAAGCTTGAATAAAGGATCCTCAAGCACTCACAGGACATACGTATTTACTACTTCCCTTGCATGTATTGGAATAGGACTAGGAACAAAGCTTGTTCAAGGAAACGAAGACCATGCTGCTGGAAAAGTGAACTTCAGGAAAACAACAAGAATTAGATTAAGGGTTGACACAAGCTATCACTATTGTGAAGTTTTAAAAAGTGTTATGTTTAATATAGTTACATTCTTTACTCTTGTGTAACTCCATAGCATATCTTCAGATTTTGGGAAGATATGATGAAAACATTATTAAGTGTGAGTATGCATTGTTGGCAGAGGAACGCTGTACAGATTACATTGCTTCTTGAGTTATGGAACCTGTTTAATAGCAGTATGAATTTGGGTGAATTGTTTAACTTCTCTGAACTTTACTCTGCCAACTTATAGAATGGAGTTAACAATAGTCTTATAAATATAAAAATCTTAGATTTAGGTGAATTTTAGTGCTTATGAAAATGATTTACAAATGAAGTGGTGGTGTTGGTAGGATTCCTGAAGCTTCTCTAGCATCAGGAAGCACAGAGTAAGTAGTTCATATAACTTTTTTTGTTTCTTTTTAAAAATATATTTTTAATATATATATTATTACTATGTGTCATAATTATACATAGTAATTGGGTTCATTTTGACAAAATCGTTGCATATAAGGAATTTGATTTTGAGCTACATTCTCTACCCTTTTTCCTCCCTCTCCTCCCACCTCTACTCTATAAAACTTCCTTTCTTCTACATATACATAAAAGTGAAATTCCCTTTGATATCTTTATAAATGAATTTAATATGATTTTGTTAAATTATCCTATTTGTCTTCCCCTTTCCCTTCCTTCCTCCCTCACTTTTGTTCATATAACTTTTTTTTAAAATGGTATTTTTTTTTTAATATTTATTTTTTAGGTGTAGATGGACACAACACAGTGCCTTTATTTTTATGTGGTGCTGAGGTTTGAACCTGGATCCTGTCCGTACTAGGCGAGCGATCTGCCGCTGAGCCATAATCCCAGCCCTTTGTTCATATAACCTTTATTTAAAAAATCTGAGGATTTTTTGAGGGTTAAGGTTTTACTTTACTTTCTGTTAATCTGATCTGATGCAGAGAGAGCTCAGTGTCTTAGACTTGTTTTCAGAAATTTAATTTTTAATTTTGCTGGGTTAATTGATCTTGACCTATGTTTTTGGAATAACTTTAAGGCAAAGAAAATCTCTTTTGTATTCCTAGAAACTAATTCCAATCTCACTACCATATTTTCTTACAGTCAACAAATTGTGGCCATTTTTATGAGGGTTTCTGAATTTGGTTATCTTTATATGCAAAATAAAGATCTGGAAATTTTGATAACTTATTTTTATGGGATTGTATTATATAGCTTAATGAATTCTTATTTTTGATGTTTTTAAAAAAGCTAAAGTTATTTGGAAGTACAGAGCTCACATTGTATACTTATTATAAAAAGGTTTTTTGCTCACTGGGCTTCTATATATTCTTGATACCTTATTTCTCCTTTTTTCTTTCCCCAATATTTTCAGATGTTTTGGAATGTTATTAAGCCCAGGTCGAAACGTGAAGAACAGTGACATGCATTTACTGGATATGGTAATGATAATCTTAAGCACTTTAACCAAGTATAGATACTAGTTATTTTATATTTTTAGAGCATTTTCTATTTTGTCATGTTTTCAGAATTGTTTATTTTAGCTATGTAGTATTAATAATTAAATTTGGATACTGAAACTTAAATTATGAGGGAGGGATTTAGTATACTTTCCTGTTAAACAAGCATAGGCTAGTTGAAAACAAAACAAGGATAGTGTTATGATAATGTCCATCTGTTCATCTCTTTCACTTAGGAAAATGTCTCTTCTTTGATCTTAAAATATTAAGTATATGATTTTAACAAGCATCTCCAAAGTGTATATGGTGCCTTTATTTTAATGCACTATTAATTAGAGTACTGTGATGTTTTCTTTAAAGCATTTCCCTGTCTGAATTTGTCCTTGATTATGTGTCCTTAGCAAAGTATATTTGCTTAATTTCAGAAGTGCCCTTAAAGATGAACACAGTATTTGGTGTAAAAGTAGCAAGCCATCTTAACTTTTAAACATCTTTTAAATTCTAAGATTGCATTTAATGAAAACTTTTGCTTTGTGACTTAGAAATGTTATATAGGAAATAATTACCTTCATAAAGCATTAATTTTCCTAATTAATAAACTGAGATTTTTATGTTTAGTGGTAAGAGGTATTACATTTTTTTTTCTTTCAGCTGTGCTTTGTGCATGTCACTTAATTATCATTAATTATGTCAAGTTCTTTGAATTATTTCATGATAATGTTAATGCTGATTTTTTAGTAGTTCTGGAATGCTTCATTCAGGCTTTGGGAATTTGTGTGCCAGTCATTGTGCGAAGTGATGGGATTGTAGATGTGAGTGGAATGTAGCTCTCTGTCATCTGGGGTTCATAGTCTTGTGATGGAAACAGACTTTTAAAGTATGTACCTGCAGCAGTGGGTTAAGTGGTCTCTCTCGTGGTCCAGTGGGTCACAGAAATATATTGGTCAGGTAAGGGCAACCAATTACACTGAATGTGGAAACAAATTAGTTATTGATCCTTCTTTCTTCTATCCCTCTCTGCAACATATCAGTAATGAATGTGGTTTTACCCTAGAAAAGCCATAGCATTCTGGAGCTCTGAAAATTCCATGTGGAGGTAATTGGGGAGCACTGAGGCATTAAAAACTTTTAACATCCTAGGTCCTCATTGTGTTTTTTCAGAGCTTAAAATGTCAAGACCAATGATTGGTAGAGATTTGTTCACAAACCTGAATTCAGATGACAGAATTATAGAGCAGGTGTGAACTTTTGTGGCCCCTTTGTCTTATCCAACTTGCAGAGTGGTCTTCACCCCTGAGACCTCAAAATCCATGGCCTCCTCAGTATTCATGCTCCTAAAGAGAAATGGATTTCCTTTGCAATAAATAGTGGGGCAGAAAGGGAGGATTTGTGTTTTCAGTTATCAACAGTTGTGATTCTTTATTACCTGATGCTATGAATCTTTGTGATATCTTAATATGTGGTCATTGACCCTTGGCTGGATTACATCTAATGAAAAGGAACTCATTACCTTATATTGAAGCCTCAAGGACAGTTCTGGATTTTACAGAGTTATTTCTTTATAATCAGCTGAAATCATATTCCTTGTAACTTTGGCTAATTAGTCTCAGTTTTTTCCCTCTAGAGCAAGATGCTAAAATACTTCTGCTCCTTCTATGACACAACCCAAATGTCGTGTGAAACTGAAAAGAAGTCTTCTACCACTTTATTTTTTGGTCAGACTTTGAAAAAGCATGCAATTACATTTAATTTAACTTAATAACTTGTGAGACTCTCCTATTTGTTTTGAACTGTTCTTAAGCAATACTGACTTTTCCTCTCTGAATGTTTTCTAATAAGCAAGGTGAATTGAGAATTTTCTAGTTTAATAAATCTGTAAGTGTAGTTTAAGATCTTCATGAAAGAGAAAGTGTTGGTTATAAATGAAGTGAGTGTTTTTGGTCAAACGGCTAGTTACTTTTATTTTTATATATATGTGTATATATATATATATATATATATACACACACACACACACCACTCATAAATAAAATCAAATATACAAAATTAGTTTGGGTATGGCAGTACAAGTAACAAAGACTCAGTTTTCTTCCAGTAGGGAGGAGAAGAATATTTTTGGTCAAGGAAGCTATAGTGTAGGAAAAAGGAAATAAGAATTTTCGACCCTTAGCTATTAATATCTAGGAAAAGCCTAATAACAAGCTACCAAGAAAAGCAGAAAAGACAGCAGAGCCAGATTTCTTGGAATTGGAACACAATTTAAAAAGTCCTATATGCTTCAGGAATGGATCTTTAAAATTAACCATTTATTGATACGAAACCAGAAGCTGTACCCACAATTAGAAGTACACTCTGACCCAGTATCCTTCTAATGTATGTATAAGAAGCTCAAGTTCCATGAAGCAGCCCTTAATCCTCACAGGTGTGATGGACGCTGCTGCTTTCTCTCCTGCTTGCTCTGTCCCTGGCCCCTTCTGCCCCTTTCTTTTTGACCAGTCCACTCTCTTTGCATCTTCCTCTTCTCATTTTCACTTCTCAGTATCTGCCTTTGTTTTTTACCTCCATGATTTATAATTTTTAAGGGTTATGTATATTTTCTTCATTTCTCTTTTTCCACTTAACAGTTTCCTAATTCTTTGCTATACTTATGTATTTTTCCTGCTTCATAATAACTTCAATATAACTGTTTTATATGTGGTGTTCATAGCCTAACTTCTCACTAAAACCTTTCAGCTTCCATTGCTAACTATCCACTTTCCTTGGTATTTGCTTATTGAAGGAGAGATTTTGATTCGTGGAGCTTGTGTAGCTTATCTTGTTGGACTTAGGCACTGGAAAATTCCGGTCCAGAAATGGATTGGAGTCTTTTGGGTCAGAAACCCATTGCTGCTCTTAATGGGGGCCTATGTGGGGGCATGGATGGGGAGAGGGAGGGAAAAGGAAAGAGAGAGAGAGAGAGAGAGAGAGAGAGAGAGAGAGAGAGAGAGAGAGACTGAAAGAGATAATGATAAGGCTATATATAATTTATATATTTATTTATATATTTATATATAGGTTGGAGGTGCTGAGTGGGTTTTCAAATGATGAACTTTAGTGTACTTTGTGTCTGGAAGGCAAGGTTCTTGCACTCAAACTATATAATCTAATCAGTGAATTTTTACTAATATATAGAAAACTATACATACTGATTACCAAACAGGTTTTATAGGGATTCTGAGAAGCATCTGTGAGGGAGGTAATAATGCAAAAAGGTTTTTCTCTTTGTTTCCATTAACCCTTTTAGCACTCTATTTACAACAAAAGAAAATACAGAGTATTGCAATACTGTAGATACTATTCTTTGCATATGCATATATTTGTATGCTTTTGTGTTGTTCTCTCATGCTGCACCCTTAATAAACTTGAGTGTTAATTACAAGCCAAAATTGGTCTCCTAATATTGATTTACAATTATTAGAAAGTATATGGATGTCTGACATGGATAATAGAGGAGCAATAAATTTAGAGGAGCAATAAATTTGAAGGTATTACTTGCTATAAAGAAATATTTTAGGAATATATTAAAATTGGGACTATAGTTTTAATAGAGACTATGTTTATCGTTATATGGGGAGGTAACTGAGATTTTAACAACCAACATAAGATCAAGTTAAATTTCATAGCAACATTGTGCTTTTGTGATTCAGCATGTTTGGCCATGCCTCCTTTTATCCAAGAAGTGCATGTCTCTACACAGAAACTATGCTCAAATAAAGCTGTAGAAAAATAATATTAAATAATAATATTATTTAAGGAAATATTTTTGTAGGGTGATAAAAACTTACAAAGAAAATAAAACATCTGTTCAATTGTAAATTCAAATTTTAATATGTGAGATAAAGTAAGAAGTAATTTAAAGCAGTGATTTTCTTGATGTGCAAATTATCAGTGAGTACTGTTTGAATTTTACAGGAATCGATGGGAAAGAGCCATGATGGGAGAGCTTATGTTATTACTGGCATGTGGAACCCTAATGCACCAGTGTTTTTGGCACTAAATGAAGAAACCCCAAAAGGTGACTGTTCTTAGTAGATATCTTATTATTTGTTTTAAACTTCAAAATATGAACAATCTTGTATTGTTTTGTTTTAAGAAAAATTCCGTTGCTTATTTAAAATGCAGATATTCTTATTTAGAATTTCAGGTTTCCTTCATACTTTATACTACTATTGGAAAATACATATCATTCAAAAAAATTCTCCCAAATACATGTGAATTAATTTTATTAGATTATGTAGAAGGCATTTGGGCTTTGTGCTTCATTTATGATTATAGAATTGATAAATGCCAACATTCTGGAATTTTGCATATCTTCGATTACTATTATTATTTTGTACCAGGGATTGAACCTAGGGTTGCTTTACCACTGAGCCATATCCTCAGCCTGTTTTTTATTTTTTATTTAGAGACAGGGTCTTGCTGTGTTGGTTAGGGCCTCACTAAGTTGCTGAGGTTGGCTTTGAACTCACAATCCTCCTGTTTCACCTGGCTTCAATTATTATTTAACCTTTTTTATATTACAGATTACTTACTTTTTTTCTCCTCATTTTGTCAATTATTGGTTGTAGTATTTTGATCTTTGGGATCCTAGCAATATGTATATATTAAGGACTTCATTGGTAGTAAACATTTTTTCTCTGGTTACATGTTTTTTTAAAAATTTTATTTAACATGTCTAGTGTTGGATAGAAATTTATAAATAATAAATAGTCATGTTTCTCATTTTTCCCATTTCGTTTTTTATTCCTATTTTGTCCAGCATCTGCTAACTGCCTGTGTGTTTTGACCCTTCATTCCTGTCTGCCTTTAAAGTAAATTTAATGTTTTACTTGATGAGTTATAGTCTTACCCTAAATACTTTCTTGTCATTCAAACAAATATTATATTTAGAATACAGTGGATCAATTTGTTTTGTATTGAATTTTATATCATTTAGTTTTTATCCACAGTAGATTTTTGGTTAAAGAGAAGAAGCATTAATGAATATTAATATGGAAATATATTCTAATGAAGAACATTAAAATAATGATTATTCTCTGTTTTCCTTAAAGAGAGTACTTACCAGTTCTTTTAAATTGCATGTATTTGATAGTATAACAAACTGTCTGAAAGTGAGGGTTAAAAAGAGAGAGCCACTCTGAAAGCTTTTTATATTTTTAGCAATAAATTATTCTTACACTTAGTTTATTTTTTGAGACAGGCTTGTAAATACCAGTATATAATTTCTTATAGTCATTCAGAAAATACAAAAAATGAGAAAAATAAGCCAGATGGATAATTTTGAAGAATAAAATATAGGAATTTCAAATATTAAGTTATAAAAGTAGCTCCTACTTGCTTTTAATGTAACACATAGTTCTGTTTCATTTTGTATTTTAATATACATTTCATCCTCAAAAGATAATTTATTTATAATTTATCTGTTCTATTAAAACAACAGTGCTATATCACAGTAATATTCAGATTCAAAATATAATATATTTTAAATTTAAAATTATTTCATATGCTACACAGACATGTTGCCTTGATTTCTAAAATGTTTTGATTTCTAAATTTCCATATGGTGTCCTTAAAATTATACATTACTCACAGAATCCATGAGTCATGTAAGGTTTCAGTTTTACAAAAGATTGTTATGCCCTAAGAGATGAAATGTCTTGGATCTTTCACTGTGCTCAATCCAGTTGAGTATTATTCTGTATCCTCTGTTACTCTCTACATTACTCCCTTTAAAGCCCTCTAGTTTAGGAAAAATGTCTAGAACATATTAGTTTCTTTTGAATTGGCAAGTGTAATACTGTTTAGTATAATAAAATGTCCAATTTATGATATCAGTGTAAGTGTAGTTAATGAGTGTAATATTTTATAAAATGTCTTAAAAAACAGTATTGAAGATTTCTTTTAATGGTGGGCTTGTTTGTTTTCATTTTTCCTTGAGAACTAAAAAACAGTGGATAAAATTAATTAAAAAATTTTAAAGAGGGGCTGGGGTTGTGGCTCAGTGGTAGAGCACTTGCCTTGCACATGTGAGGCACTGGGTTCGATCCTCAGCACCACATAAAATAAATAAATTAGTAAAACAAAGGTATTGTGTTCATGTTCAACTAAAAAAATTAAAAAAAAATTTAAAGAGCATCAAGGAAATTACAAAGTGGAATGGAATAACCAAGCTATAACTAAAAAAGTAACAATTTCTCTTATTTTGCTTTTTAAGATGAAATAAGAATATAATGATATAAGAAATCTGATAGTTTTCAAGTAAAGCATATCCTGAAAATTTTATTTATTTAATTTTTATGGTGCTAGTGATTGAATCCATAGCCTTGCTCACACTAGTGCTCTACCATGAAGCCATACCCTTGGCCCAGTTTTTATTTATTTTTATATTAAGGTTGAGATTTGAGGAGTGGAAAAAAACAGCTATTAGGAACTTCTGACACTTGATTAAGATAGGATCATAAGTTCTGAGAAACAGACTTGAAATACTTAGTTACCTATTTTATCAAAGTGGTAAGAAAAAAAATAAGAAAAATGGTAAGAAAGCATTCAAAAATAAATATATAGAAAGTAATATTATTGTAAAGAACCTTAATTTTGTGGCTTGGGTCGTGCCTCAATGGTAGAGCGCTTGCCTAGCATGTGTGAGGTACTTTTATTGCTTTTTATTGATTCTCAGCACCACATATAAATAAGTCCATAAATTAAAGGTCTATCAACAACTGAAAATATATTAAAAAAATAAATAAAATAAAGGTAAAAGAATCTAAAATAAAAGAAACCTTAATTTTTTTCATAAGTGTGGGAATTTTGTTGTTTTAATCAAAGAATAATAAAGTCAACATAAACTCCAGAATATTTCTACCACAGATAAGCGTGTGTACATGACGGTGGCAGTGGATATGGTGGTCACAGAGGTGGTGGAGCCTGTCCGTTTCCTCCTGGAGGCAGTGGCACGTGTGTACCCTGCAAACGAACGTTTTTGGTATTTCAGCAGAAAGACTTTCACGGAGACTTTCTTCATGAGGCTGAAACAGGTGGGACTTTTTTGTTCTCTTCATGTAGAAACATTTTTCTTTCTACCTTTTATTTTTAATGCCAAGATTAAATGCCTTAAGTAGCAATAAAAAGTAATATAATTTCTAAAAAAAATGAAATGATATTTGAAGTCAGCCAACAGTACTTTTGAAAAATCTACATATAATCAATATACAAATTTTAAAAACTTGGGTTAGTGTAATCATTATGTACTTTTTTTTTTGTAGCAATCTGAAACATGTAATGTGGTGAAGAATAAACAATAGAAATACTGACTCTATATAAAACAGGCTTTCTGTCTTTTAAATAAAATTACTTGAAACAAAGAAAATAGAATTCAGAAATGCCATATGCTTATAAAGTTACAATGAAAAATTTTCCTAGACATACCAAATTGCTATAGTTATTTCTGGTTATAATTTTTAGATAATCTGCATTATATTAATATGTTATTTGGCTTATCAGTAAGATTATAAAGTTATTTTCATATTAAATGTACAAAATTAGGTTTCCTATGACATCCTTAAATTAGTCACTATTACTGGGTAAAACTTTTTTTTTGTAGTAAATGAATAAGGTAACAGTAAAAAATAATTTGAATTCTAATAAGATTAGTTTGTAAAATCAGAGTAAAATGTTCTGTTTGAATAATGAAAATCCTTAGTATGGTGTTTTTGTTAGTATGCTCACTTTTCTAGGTTTTAAAATACTTGCTGCTTTGTAACTGTAACATGCAAACTGCAGTGTGGCAAAGAAAGCACCAACACAATGAATAAATATAGAAGCCACTTACCCATTTTCATATTAAAACGTAACTTGTCATAGCTCAGTTAGGCTTCATTAAGAAGATACTTTGCAGTTATTGTGCTTTTCATCTTTCATACAATTATGATAGCTGTGTTTTGAGTCAGCTTTTATTACTGTGTGGACTGTTTTTGCAGCATATTGTAATGAATGTTATGTGAACAATATTCAAAACTTCAGTTGCCTGAGCATCTTTTAGAGTTTTGTCATGAGGTTTCTTTCCTTTTCTCTCTCCCATTCATTCTTGAAATTCCAGTTTTGGAAATCAGGATTGGGTGCTAATTCCCCTGGTGTTGAAGATTAAATGCCCAAGAAATTCAAGGCAAACACAGAGACCAACAGAGATAGGGAAGAAGAGCTGATGCCAATGGGGGATGTGTCTTTATCTTTTTATAGACCCCCCACCCTCTCTTTTTTATTGTATAGGTGCCCAAAGGCAGGAAAGAGTAGCCCCAGGAGGGTAATGCCTTGTGTCAGGAAGTGTGATTCTTGCCCCTCACTGGAGATGTTATCAGCCAGTTGAGCAGGGAAGTGTTATCCAGAGGTGTTAGTATCCCAATTCCTTTTCCTTGAAAATCAGTCCCTGTCTTTCCTACCTATGCTTTGCCCTGTCTCACTTTTATCCTATTCATCCTATCCTGCCTTCTTTTCTTCCTACCTTTTTTTTTTTTTTTGATAGTTTAGCTGTTGTCACTATCAAAGATTTCATTTTGGGGCTGGGGTTGTCGCTAAGTGGTAGAGTGCTTGCCTAGCATGTGGGTTCAATTCTCAGCACTACATATAAATAAAATAAAGGTCCATTGACAACACACACACGCACACACACACGTGTGTGTGTATATACATATACATACATATATATATATATATATATATATATATGATTTCATCCTATATATTATATATATAGATTTCATCAGTTTGAGCCCAAAGGATTATTCAAAATTGCTTAACAGTTATTAAAGGACAGTAGTGACAGTAAATTATGAATTCTACCTCTTGGAGGCCTGGGAAGGAGTTAGGTTTTTATTGGCTAACTCATGCTCTACTCTGTGCTCATGTGTGCACTTTCTTCCCTGACATCGTGCGCGCGCGTGTGTGTGTGTGTGCATGTATAAAGTGGATTATTATTAAACATTATTTTTATATTTTTAAAACTGCTAATGTTGAATGACACTGATAAATACCATGAGACTTTTCTTAATGATAAAACATTAAAAATGCTACATGGGCCAGGCATGATGGTGCACTTAGTAATACCAGCAGCTCTGTAAACTGAGGCAGGAGGATAGTGAATTCAAAGCCAGCTTCAGTATTTTAATGAGGCCCTAAGCAACTTAGTGAGACCCTGTCTCAAAATAAAAAGTAAAGAACAGACTGAGGATGTGAGAATGTGGCTCCCTGGTTAAGTGCCCTTGGGTTCCATTCCATCCTGGTACAAAAAAAAAGAATGAGATTCATTCATAACACAGTTGTTCTAAATATGAAACTGACTTGAAGTGCATCTTGAATATGAGGAATATGGTTTGCAACTTTAGTATCATATTTTATGTTGAAGAAAAAGTAGGAAAATACATTATCGATTGGTTCATACACGAAGGCATACCTGCCTTAAGCAGAAATAATATAAATGAAAAAATTGAAATCAAGAGAAGTTAAATGAATTGTTAAAATTCATATTGTTAGTTATAATAAGAGCTGAGACTATAGTTTCTTATCTTAAGCCAGTGTATGCTCTTACCTTCTTCCCATAACTCCAGAAACTGGATTGGCTTATAGCTGTTGATGGTAATGTGAGCTGTTGGTCTTTATTGAGACAACGTTAGTAGGAAGAAGAAATTAGGTGAGCTTCCGATACAATTAAAAGATTACGTTATAGTATATATGTCCAGACCATTTTAAATGATTCAAGAGAGAATGGGTTAGTTTTAGATACCTAGAACTATTTCATTCTTTCTGAGAGTTTTGGACTTGTTGGATAATTTCAGAAGTAGTTCTGTGCCTAAACAGGATTAAATCAGATTCTTGGGGACCCCAAACAAGATGAGATGTCTTATACACAAATTATTTTTCCTTGAGAGCTTTCCTACTCTCAAATGTAGTGAAATGTATGAACATGTAACTTGTTCTGATTTGTCCAAATGACTCAAATGTCCTAAGGTCAGTCATGACCTTCCTTTCTCTCTCCCTACCTCCTTCTCTCCTGGACTCCCTTACCAGGGATTCAGCCCAGTGATGCTTTACTGCTGAACGGTTTCCCCAGGCCTTTTTAAAAAGTTTTGCTAAATTGCTTAGGCTGACCTCAAATTTGTAAACCTCTTGCCTCAGCCTCATGAGTAGTTGGGATTGCAGGCATGTGCCACTGTACAGTATCCTGTTTTAAATTGGTAATAACTGTGATTGCATACAAAAACTCTGTACTTTTACTCTCCCCTCATCTTAAGTCATTGATATTAAAATTTCATATCTTGCTAAGTGAAATAAACCAAACCTAGAAATCCAAAAGCCGAATGTTTTCTCTGATAAATGGATGCTGAACCATAGTGGGGATGGGGGTAGGGAAGAATGAAGGAATTTTGGATTGTGCAGAGATGAGTGAAAGGAGGGGAGGGGTGTGGGGATGGGAAAAAAGTGGAATGAGACGGACATTATTTCCCTATATACATGTATGATTACACTACCAGTGTGACTCTGCAATGTGTACAGCCAGAGGAAGCAGAAGTTGTGCTCCATTTGTGTACAGTGCATCAAAAATGCATTCTACTCTCATGTATAACTAATTAGAACAAATTTAAAAATAAAAAATTTCCATTTTCGTCATCTTTTTTTTTTTTTTTTTTGGACTGGGAATAGAACCCAGGGCCTCTTTACACTGAGTTATATCCCCAGCACCTCTCCCACTGCCCCTCCACTTTGCTTTTTTTTTTTTTAATGAATTAAGGTAGGGCCTTGCTAAGTTGCTGAGAGTGGCCTCAAATTTAGATTCTTCTACCTCAGCCTCCCAAGTTACTGGGATTACAGGTGTGTGCCACCATGCCCTGCTTACATCATTTAAAAAATATTGTGTATCTCTTAACAAATTATTATAGTTAGTTATAGTATATATTTGTACTATTCGCACAAAAAGACCAGGCTGAATAGGATCTTCACAGATCCTCACAGCCTTTTATTCAGAAACAGGATTAAACCCACAGGAATGGACTCACTCTCTTGGTGGAAAATGAGCCTCTGGACAAAGGAGGGGACTGGGCTTATATAGGTTATACTGAGAAGTGACTTAATTAATGAGCTTGTCAGTTTTGGGCACTCAGGAAATAGGTTTGTGAGAATTTGAAAATTTGTTTTTACTGGGCAATATTTTTCTTTGGAGAAGAACAGAGGATCTGGGGGTCAATATTCAGTACTTTTTCCTTTCAGATTCCCATTGTACTGCCATTGGGAAAGGATTTATTTGGGGAAGGATCAGTGCTTTGGTTCTTTCTAGGGATTGTTCTGTCACTGAGAAAGAATCAATGCTATCAACGTGGTGCTTTTCTCTGCATTCCCTCTTCCAAGGCTTCATTATTTTGGGGTTTGTCATTTTCCATATCTAATATGTTCTCTATATATTTACATATATGTATTATGTTTATTTATATATGTGATATAAATACATGTAAAATATATTTTCAATAAATATATGTACTATAAATATATAATATTTAATATGTATTTATATAGATAATATATTTAATATTACTTATATGTATAAAATATGTATCTTTTAACTTTTATTCTGAGTTGATTTATGCATCACCATAACAAAATTAGAGAATTCTGATTTTGAATTTTCCATTGAGTTGTATGCATTTACCATTGAGTTGTGTACATTCATATGTTTTTACATTGTTAATTATTACCCTTTCATTTAACTTTTAAGAAAGAACTCCCTTTAGCATTTCTTATAAGGCAAGTCTATCATTGGTGAATTCCCTTTTGTTTGTTTGCAAAAATCTTAGAATGGGGGCTGGGGCTGTGGCTCAGTGGTAGAGCACTGGCCTAGAATGTGTGAGGAGCTAGGTTTGATCCTTATCACCACCTAAAATAAATAAATAAATAAATAAAATAAAGGTAGTGTGTACACCTACAACTAAAAAAATATTAAAAAAAAATCTTAGAACGACTTTGTTAGGTATAGTATTCTTAGTAGGAAGGT